AATAAATCATTTTGAAGTCGGATGAATCTTTTTGAATCACTCTAAATATATGTGCATATATATGTGTGTGTGTGTGTGTGAACATGCACAATTATTGTTTATTTGCTGAATTGAACATATTGGAAAAAAACGAAACATGAAATGTAGCCTGTGCAAAAGTATTGGCACATTTTATATTTTTACAATATGTTAAATAGAGCAAAAAAAGAAAAAGAAGTGGTGCAATAAAATTGCAGAAAAATGCATATTTAAGTGTGTTCTCTGTAGAGGATGTGTTAACTTATTTTCTTTTGGAAAATGCGACAAAACGCAGTTTTAATGGGTTTGATTTGATATACAAATACACATACTGTATATATACATACACAGTACCGTGCAAAGGTGTTAGGCACTTGAGGCACTTTGTACTACAAAAAATAGTACAAAAACTATTGACTATTTTGATTGTCATTGTTTTCGTTTAACCATTTCCACACCTCCTACAAGCATTATTTGTAGTTATCATCCAGTACCTGGTTTGACTAATCAGTTCTTCATTATGTTAAATCAGGTGTGCTGCTGATAGAATTCAACAAATATGTATCGCTGCTGTCGGAACAAAACCTTGTATCTCCAAAATGGTAACTTTACAGGAGAAGGAAAAAACATACGTCAATGGAACCAGATTTTTTTACAAGCAATTTTGGGTCATTTCTTTTGGTCAGTTCATCATGAAATTTACACACAATATAAAGGGCAACAGGTATTTTCAAATTATGTTAAAAACTGAAAAAACGACAAAAATGGAGATACAAGGTTTTGTTGCGACAGCAGCGATATGATGGCTGAGTGCATTGAGGAGACATCAGGAACCAATCTTTGTTCTTATAATTAGTTTACAAGATATCAGCTACTTTTTAGAAAAACAAGAAATTCTTTTTACTTTTTTACTGCATTCATTGTGAACAATATGCTGAGGTGCCTTTTACAGAGTACAGTGTGTCTGTGTTAATGGGCTTCCAAAAAGAGTTTTTCAGAGGTTTTAAAAACTCCGGTGAGTTCCTGAAGTAAGATATGGATATAGAAAAATTACTTTGTTTACGTTTACATAGAACATACACGCTTAGCAATACGGGTTCTGTATAGTACCACAATATGAACAACTTGTAATAATAGTGGAACCCTTGTTAGTCCTAGAGAGAGCCATTTTAAAAAGGCTGTTTATAGAACATATCGCTGCTTTTGGAAGAGAACCATGTATGTCCAAAATGGTGACTTTACAGGAGAAGGAAAAAACCTACTTTACTTTTAATGGAAGTCAATGGAACCAGACTTTTTTCCAAGTCATTTTGGGCCGTTTATTTTGGTCCATTCATCATGAAGTTTACACATAATGTAAAGGGTAACAGGCATTTTCAAATTATGTCAAAAACAAAAAACAACAAAAATGGAGATATGAGGTTTTCTTCCGACAGCAGTGAAATAACAGCTTTTCCAGCATAAAGAAGAGATGTTTAATGATGCAAAGAACCAGGTGTGCATTCAAATGGTTCTTTGAGTGTTCACGATTCCTCGATATCCACAATATATAACCATTGCCTTTATTAAAGAACTCTTGTAAAAAACATTTTTAGGGTGCATCCACTTTCAGACTGAACCTGATTTTCTATGCATGCATAAAAGTGTTTTAAGGACATCCTCAGGTTATCGTATGAATTATTAATGAGTGTTTGATATTTGCTAAAAACTTTCAGTATAGAATGAAAATTTGCTTGTTAGCTTTATATCGAGTATTCTGGCCGTACCTGTGTTCTCCTGCCTGAGAGGTATGAAGGAGGGAAGCAGTGATGTATGGAAACAAGTCACTAACACTCAGACCACTGTGGAGCAGTAAAGAGATTAATCCAGGTGAGTTTTAAGATAGCATGCATTCTGTTCTTTACTGGACGGAAATATTAGCACTGTTGGACAACACTGTGTCACTCTACTGGCTGTATATAGAGGAGGTCACTGAGACAGCAAAATCAAAGAGTAATTGTACTTGGTTAATATTATTAAGGGTTATTTTAAAAAAATGCTTTTATTCAATTATGTTTCCAAGAGTAAAAAAAAATACTTTTTACTCTTTCTGTTCTCATTTAGGCCTTTAATGTACTTGTGACATCTCAAATTCTTCTCTTTTACCTTATGGCCAATCAGTTCTATTTATTTATTTATTTATTCATTTAAAACATCTGGTCAAATTTACATCACACTAAAATGAAATTTGAGGCCGAGTCAGTACTTCTCGTTTGCTGCATCACACGACCAAACAAAGAAGACATATTGACAATATTATGTGTTTAAATGTTTACTTATACCTTTACATACTTAACTAAGTTTAAATATAGACACGTTTTGACTTCTAGTAGCATATTTGTGGTTCTAAACTTCCACTTTGAATCATTAATATTTCTCTACTTACCTGTCTCTGTCTATAGACTGATAAATCAATGTGACAATCAGTTATTAATCTCAGTGTTACTGAGCTCTGCTAAAGCCTGAGCAGACTGATAAATCAATGTGATCAGTTATTAATCTCAGTGTTACTGAGCTCTGCTAAAGCCTGAGTAGACTGATAAATCAATGTGATCAGTTATTAATCTCAGTGTTACTGAGCTCTGCTAAAGCCTGAGTAGACTGATAAATCAATGTGATCAGTTATTAATCTCAGTGTTACTGAGCTCTGCTAAAGCCTGAGTAGACTGATAAATCAATGTGATCAGTTATTAATCTCAGTGTTACTGAGCTCTGCTAAAGCCTGAGTAGACTGATAAATCAATGTGATCGGTTATTAATCTCAGTGTTACTGAGCTCTGCTAAAGCCTGAGTAGACTGATAAATCAATGTGATCGGTTATTAATCTCAGTGTTACTGAGCTCTGCTAAAGCCTGAGTAGACTGATAAATCAATGTGATCGGTTATTAATCTCAGTGTTACTGAGCTCTGCTAAAGCCTGAGTAGACTGATAAATCAATGTGATCGGTTATTAATCTCAGTGTCACTGAGCTCTGCTAAAGTCTGAGTAGACTGATAAATCAATGTGATCAGTTATTAATCTCAGTGTCACTGAGCTCTGCTAAAGCCTGAGTAGACTGATAAATCAATGTGATCGGTTATTAATCTCAGTGTCACTGAGCTCTGCTAAAGTCTGAGTAGACTGATAAATCAATGTGATAATCAGTTATTAATCTCAGCTTTACTGAGCTCTGCTAAAGCCTGAGTAGACTGATAAATCAATGTGATCAGTTATTAATCTCAGTGTTACTGAGCTCTGCTAAAGCCTGAGTAGACTGATAAATCAATGTGATAATCAGTTATTTATCTCAGTGTTACTGAGCTCTGCTAAAGCCTGAGTAGACTGATAAATCAATGTGATCAGTTATTAATCTCAGTGTCACTGAGCTCTGCTAAAGCCTGAGTAGACTGATAAATCAATGTGATCGGTTATTAATCTCAGTGTTACTGAGCTCTGCTAAAGCCTGAGTAGACTGATAAATCAATGTGATCAGTTATTAATCTCAGTGTCACTGAGCTCTGCTAAAGCCTGAGTAGACTGATAAATCAATGTGATTAGTTATTAATCTCAGTGTCACTGAGCTCTGCTAAAGCCTGAGTAGACTGATAAATCAATGTGATAATCAGTTATTAATCTCAGTGTTACTGAGCTCTGCTAAAGCCTGAGTAGACTGATAAATCAATGTGATCAGTTATTAATCTCAGTGTTACTGAGCTCTGCTAAAGCCTGAGTAGACTGATAAATCAATGTGATCAGTTATTAGTATCAGTGTTACTGAGCTCTGCTAAAGCCTGAGTAGACTGATAAATCAATGTGATCAGTTATTAATCTCAGTGTTACTGAGCTCTGCTAAAGCCTGAGTAGACTGATAAATCAATGTGATGATCAGTTATTAATCTCAGCATTGCTGAGTTGGTCAAACTAATGATCTCAGTAGTGTCAGTGTTTGTGAATGAGAAGTTAAGCATCTGGACTGGACTCCTGCCTGAGTGATTGTGGGAGCAGCAGTGGACTGAAGGAGGCAGTAAGAGGAAAAAAAGCCTTTCAGTTTGCATTTTCAGAAATTAATTAAAATGATAATAACATTTTTCACCAAACATATTCCAAGAAACAGAATAATTACATGAAGAAAACAACAAATAACAGCAAGAAACAAGATAAATTAAAAAAAAAAAAGATTTTCATTGTACCTTTCCAAGATTTATTGTAAAGGTATTCTAAATATATTACTTATTATGTATTGTAATGGAATACATTACTGAATACTTTCATATTATCAAAGTATTATATATATATCAGAATCTGAATGAAAGAATAAAACCATCGTCCCTGTAAATGTATTAAAATCAGAATTACAATCATAAATCTGTTTTTCTTGCTTCAAAATGTGTCATTTAATGCCCTGTAGACCACCAGATTTCCTGTGACAAAGGCCAATGAACAAATAGTGCTTAATTAATTCAAATGCAATATTTTAATCAAAGGTCGTGGGTAATAAAAGATCCATTGGCAGAGTGGACATTATCATAATGTGCTTGCTTTTCTCCCTTTCCAGCAGACGGAAAGAGGACCGGAATATGCTGTTTAAAAAAATGTGGCTTAAAAAATGTACATAATTTAGCCTACACAGCTTAATATTTATCATCGTGCGCGTTTGTATGTCGGTCAGCTCGTCGCATTTAGGTACATTCATCCGAATCTAGCCATGCATCAAATATTATTCCCAGGGTTGCACTGCTTCATTGGAGTGCACGCTTCACAGAGCCGCATTGGAAGGTTGGCGTTCTGTTTTTTTTTATCCCACCCGTATTTCGGAAAACCCCCGCTACGATTGGCGGACAGATTGCTAGTATGAATTCACCAGCCAATCGTAGCGCGGGAGGCGCGATGGCGGTAGCCAATCGCAGCGTAGGAGAGGCGGGACGTGGCGGAATACGGGTAGGGAAAGAAATGATAACGATAACGGTAAACAGAAAGGTAACTGGCAGTGTGGGCAGGCAGTGATTCCAAATCGTGTAACGTCCACTGTCGACGTATTTTTATTTAGATTATGACCCGATAACGCCGATATTTGTGGGATTTATCGCTGTCGGCTGGGGGACGTGGTTATATCGAGCTGAAGAACCCGACATGGGTTAGAGTATCGCCGAGACCAGGCTAGCTGTGTCAGATATTAGCCCAACGGTCATAACCGCCACTGAGGATTTTTCCAGATGTGTGATGGCGGGAATCTACGATGAAGGCGAAAAGCGATAGCATGATGCTAATTTCCCTCATATAAAGGAATGGTGAGTGAACTGGTTCCTCTTTTCTTCCCCTCCCTTTTTTAAAGCTGGGGGTTGCTAACCTACCTGGTGAGACCCGTGCGAAAGGACGAGGCTGAAGTTGGCTTAATTTTCCCGTTCCACCTTAAACGGTGCAGCAGTTACATTCACCAGCGTCTCTTTCGAATGTTCCCGTTCCACCTTAAATGGTGCAGCAGTTAACGTTACATTCTGGTGCCTCGGGATGTAACTGCTGCACCATTTAAGGTGGAACGGTAAATTCGAACATGATGCTGGCGAATGTAAACCGAGGCGCCAGAATAGAACGTTAACTGCCGCACCATTTAAGGTGGAACGGGAAAATTCGAACAAGAAAAGGGAGAAAATCCAGCTTGTAACGTGGCTGTGATTCGGTGCTGACAGAAAGCCTGGCTCACTCACAGCGTGCAGCTAATTTCTGCACATTTCTGAGATTTTCCAGTCGTAAATGAGGGTGAAAAACGTGAACAGACGAGTAGAGACTCACACTTAAGACCTTTTAGGAAGCATATGATACGATTTGGCTCAAAAAATGCCAAGTTATCTTATTATTCTTATTATTTATCCAGTCTGAGCGACAGCAAGTGAATAAAATGACCTTCAGTGCCAGCTCTGAAAATGAATGCTCACCTTGGGTAAAACTGTGCCCTCACAGCAAAGCAGGACTGTAGGCATTATGTCAGTTTGGCCTCATGGTGTGATGAAAAATGCAAATTATAATGAACTGCATGGGATTTTGCATCCATGGTCTCCTTTTCTTGCCTTTCTTTCTCACCCTCCTCCTAAACACGTGAGTCTCTCCAGCCTACTACCACCCTGCATGCCCTAAATACATCACAATATATTCTAAATGAAATGGCTGTGCTTTTTAAAGCAGTCAAACGCCAACATACTGCTGCTGTCTTCTCTCTAATGTCTTCATAGCACCGCATGCATCGCGCACAGCGACTCGTAGTCCTAATATTGTGACCTGTAAGCCATCTGAACTGAAAAGAAGTGTAGAAGTAGCAGACTTTTATATAAGCCCACATCGTTATTTTTCCAAAGGAAATTGCCCTGGATCAGATGATGCTTGCATCTAATGCTGCGTTTAGCACATTTCAGTGACAGACTAAAACCATTTTTTGGTCTGATGAGACGTATGAAGCCTCTATGTCTCTGTTATGTACAGCCATAAGCAAAATGCAGTGATTTTGTGCCACAGATTAAGGGGATTTGGAGTGAACTGCATTGATAAGCCTTTTAAACAGCTGTCACATTTTGTCAACGCATGCATTTATGCCAGATAAAAGCCACTAAAGTGATACATCGGTGATCTCGGCTGCAGATACCAGTGCAGGAAATGAAAAGGCGGAAACTGCTACATTAGAAAGATACAACACGCCACTGGCAGCAGCTTTAGTTGCTGACCTTTGCTGCGTACTATTGAACTTTGAGGATATTCCTGACTGTACGCAACGCAGAACTGCGACAGGATGGAGGGAAAAATGAGCAGCGTCTTATTCTCCGTGGTCTTGTGTGTTGTTGTTTGGGTACGTCTTCATGCAATATGCATCTCTGCAAGTCCTGCAGTAGGGCTCGTCGTAATCCTCTCCTGAAGATGGCAGTATTCCCATGCACTGCACAAAAAAGACTCACTCAAGAGCATAATTTGAAATCTCTTCCATTATTATCTAGGACAATTTTATAAGTGGACTAATTTATTGTTTCATTCTCTTTTCAGGGAAACATAATGCATTCTATTCAGGTTATGCTGTGGTTTGTATTGCGATGTGGACCAAGAAGAAATGAGATAATTATTGTTTCATCTTTCCTGAAGGGACCCGCACTGAGAAAACCCGCCTTTCCGAGACTGGACCACCTGGAGATTCGAGTCTGTGCAGCTCTTTGTAGCTACATTCTGCTCTTCTACCATTAAAAAGGGCAGAGAATCTGAAACGTAGCACCTGCTTCGCAACATCATTTCCCTACCTGCAACAGCACACCTACCAGGTAAAAATTTAGGATCGGAGGTGTGTAGAGTAAAAGTATTGTTACTTTGGTGAAATAGCATCCCAAGAAAAAGTAGAAGTTTCTTGACAAAAACATAACATGAATAACAGTACAAATGTATGAGGTGCTGAGAGTCATACAGAGTTGCAGTGGAACTTCTTAGTACATCCACCAACTATCAGTATAGAAACCAGGGTTTTTTAAGCACAGCTCTTGTTTTTTAATGCATTTTTGGTCTAAAATAAAATGACAAACCTCAAAAGTCAGCATTGTGACAAGTTGCAAAGCAATGCAAATGCTCTCACCACCATGACAGAATGAAATAAAACTCACAAAAAAATTAAGAACTAAATTTGAATGAAAAAATGTAACTGTAATGTGAAGGTAAAATGTAACATGAAAAGTAGATTTCTTTTTCTAACAAATATAGTAAAAGTGTCATTTGAAAATGCTCAGAGACATACAAACGCATCAAATTTTGCTTGATTAAATCGCTGTTGTCGGAAGAAAACCTCTAACCTTTAACTTTACAGGAGAAGGAAAAAACATGCTTTATTTTTAATGTAAGTCAGTGGAACCAGACTTTTTTCCAAGTCATTTTGGGTCATTTCTTTCGGTCCATTCATCATGAAATTTACATATAATGTAAAGGACAACAGACACTTTCAAATTATGTCAATAACTGAAAAATGACAAAAATGGAGATACGAGGTTTCCTTCCAACAGCAGCGAAATGTATTTACTACCCACCATGTCATCCAGCGATTCGGCTAAATGTGTGTGCATGTTTGAACACGCATTTTATATAGACTGCATCCCTTTTCACCTTGTTACTCCTCATAGTAATTTCTAGTAATGCTCTTTCTTCTTTGGTGTAATTCTTTTAAAGGCCAGAGTATGCCATCTGCACAAACCCACAGAATCCTACGACCCCTTCTGCTTGGTACCTTCTTACTGGGCTGTTTTGTGACTTTGTTTTTGATGTACCTCAAACCGTCCACTAGCTGGTTGTCGGGGCCTGTTGAATCAGAAACCTCCACTGCCCGAGTGAAGAGCCTGCTGTCCAACAGAAGCGAACAGGACCAGACCACGGTGCTTGTTTGGCTTTGGCCGTTTGGAGAAACGTACGACCTGAATGTCTGCAGCGCGCTGTTCAACATCGACGGCTGCTTCATTACCGCCGACCGGAACCTTTACAACAAGTCCGATGCCGTCGTTATCCATCACAGGGACATCAGCACCGACCTGTCCAACATGCCACCGGCTTATCGGCCCCCACTTCAGAAATGGATTTGGATGAACCTCGAGTCACCGTCACACTCGTCTCAGTTACCCGGGATTGAAAACTTGTTCAATCTGACTCTGAATTATCGGCAGGATGCTGATATCGAAGTGCCTTACGGAGCGATCGTCGCGGCCCGAAGAGAGGAACACTTTGTGCCCCCGAGCAAGAATAAGTTGATCTGCTGGATCGTGAGCAATTGGAACCCAGATCACGTTAGAGTGAAGTACTACAACGAACTGTACAAACACATTGAGATTCATGCGTACGGTCAAGCTTTCGGTGAGTACATATCTGACCAGGACTACTTCCCCACTATCGCCAGCTGTAAGTTCTATCTGGCGTTTGAGAACTCGATTCACAAAGACTACATCACAGAGAAACTCTACAACCCACTCTCTGTCGGCACGGTGCCCATCGTCCTGGGCCCACCGAGGGAGAACTATGAGAATTTCGTGGAGGGCGACGCCATCATCCACGTGGATGACTTCTCCTCCCCGAAAGAGCTGGCCGAGTATCTCCTGTTTCTGGACAAGAACGAGGAGCTCTACCTGAGGTACTTTGACTGGCGCAAACACTTCAAGGTCAAGAAAGCCTATTTCTGGGCCGAGCACACATGCCTTGCTTGCGATTACATCAGACGACACAATGAGTACAAAGCATTTAATAATCTTGACAAATGGTATTGGGGTTAATCCACATGCAGATATCGTCCACAGATATCTGGCGTTCAGCTGAATGAATGGTCGGCACCGAGAGCTCGATTTAACTCTGGAGGGTCTGCCGTAAGCCACATAAATTGCCTGGTTTTATTTTTGTAAAATGTAAATGTTAACTTATTTTGGTAGTCTTAGTTTACACCATCCTCCATATTTATTAATTTGAATGCAAAGAACATATTTTATTATGTGACAACATTTGCTACTGTGTTTTTTTCTTACTGCCTTCTTATTTAACATACGGTTTCATTAGAAATGTCAAATGTGATACAAAACGGCATTCCACGTGCACATGCTGTGTCTGTTATTGGGAGTGACTACACTGCAACAGAGAAAATAATGATGTAATTGTTGACTATGAAATATTTGTGTATTATTTATTTCGTTCTTATGTTGTGTAGATGTTAGTACTTGTCGGTCATCTATGCAGTGTTTACAGAACTGTGTATAGTCCATCTGCTGTATTGTGTCTATTAATTTTGGACAAATCTGCCTTTCGTTTTTTTTTATTTTCCATGTTACTTACTTGCACAGCCCTGTGAACGGCTCACGATTGACTGACCCGAAGCATTGCTGCAGTGATACGTAGTGCAACACTGTCATTACTTTTTAACCGACCACAAGTTTTCATTGCCACTGAGAGTGTTTTACTGCGTCCGTACGGCAGTAACACTCAGTGCATCATCTTACACAGCCTGGGAATGCATCACGGTACTGTAAATTTCATCTTTTGAAATTTTTAAATGTTGCATTATTATCCTTTGTCTAACAGATGGTAAAATGTTGAATTGAGAGCACAAGTCCAGTATACATATGGCAGCGTGTGGGACTGCAGCATTCACACGCATACAGATAATCTTTCAGCAAATGCTACCATATGGGTTTGGCCAAGTGCATGATCAGTCCATGTTTTCACTGTGTTTTTGGGGAAGAGTGCAGGATTTTTCCCTTTCGTGTAGGTTTAGATTCATTGTAGATACTGTTTTGCACATATATCTAAGTCAATGGGGGGAGACTAGTCCCGTGTAGTAGTATTCGGTGCCAAAGGTTTCCTTCCCAGAAGAGATAATGAAAGACTATTTTTTGGACTGATAGCATGATAAATGGAATCAGTGGAAAGCTGTGTGGAGAATTTACAGAGGAATAGTATCTTGCTTTGTATTATGAAAAGCAAAGCACATGCCAAATGGCATGCTTTTTACTCCTTAACTAGCGGAGAGAGTGAGTGTTATTCAGACGAAAGTGATTTTTGCTCACCAATAGTGCTCATTAGATGTGATTCGGAAAGCCGCCCCCAGGTCAGCGGAGCTGTAAGAGCCTACTTTTTTTGGACATGTATTTTCTCTGTCTGCGAATGAGTTACGCTCTGAGCCGAATGCATTATGGGGTTCAGCTGTCTCTGTTTCATCACTGAGAACATGCCTGTGTTTACTTTTTTTTTCTTTAACTGAAAAAAATGGTGCTTCAGTTTATATGATTCAAATGAAAAAGACAACAATTATGCTGATGTAACATATTTTATTCGTAAGCAACCACATTTGAATCATGTACACACCATTTTGTTCAGCATTTTCGCATTCTTGAGTGACTTTTCACCGAAGGTGATGCTGGTTTAAAAGTGCTGTAGGTTACAGTCCACAATATTCTGTATTGCTCTTGTGATCAAATGTGAATTCAACACAAACTGGACCTTTTTTTTTTGTTTTTTTGAGAAACACAAAAGCGGTGTTGTTTCACACTGACTGTACAAGATACAATTTTTTCTGATGAATCTTCAGTGTTTGTTCATGCAGAATCAGCTGTGATCACTCTGTACGTACTGTAAATAGCTGTTTGAGGATTTCTGACCTATAGCTGTTGGATACTGTGAGGACGAAGTGAATGCACTGAAACGTGATGAATAAAGTAGGCCTTCAGCGAGGGGCCCATCTCAGAGGACGCAAAACGGAGGTCTAGTGTGGAAGACAAAGCGGACCGTGCAATGGAGAGGCCATTCTCCTCCGGCAAAGGCAATGTTCCCAAGGAAAATGTGGATAGTTTGAGGATTAGTGCTAATCCTTTTGACACTATCAGACTGATGCCTTCCAGAGGAAATTCATCTGAGAGTTGGCATTTACACCTATCCTGGATTGTGTGATTCACTGCAACAGTGGCTGCTCTCTTAGCGAATAAGTCTCGGAAGCGACTTGACTCAAAGTGTGAAGAAAAACAAGTGAAGAAGCTTTTATTTATGGTTTTGTTGTTGTATATGTACACGTTTCTTTTGTGAAGCAGCTTCATGGAACACATTTGTACTGTATCATTGTTCTCTATCTCTTTATCGCTGTCTCTCTCTCTTTCTCTCTCGCCTCTCTCTGTATTTCTCTATCTCTCTCTCTCTCTCTTTGCACAAACTTTCGCTGTGAACTCTTCGTTCCCTTTAACAAACAGTCTTTGCATTTCGACTGCGTTAGTGGTATGTGTTTCTGACTCAGTGCCCCCGCTGGATCGTACATGTAGGCCGGTGACACGGAGTATTTTCTCTATGCATTATGGACTCCCGTCGGAAATGACCTACATTCCCCACGTGCAAACGGACTGGAACGTCTTTTGAGCTGATCGTTGCAAAATACTCTGCCAAAACATTGTTTGCCAAATGATTTACTGTAGATGTCTGTTAGTGTCATGAAAATAAAGTGACTAAATTAAATTGCACTGGTGTAATGCTGTGTGGTGTGAATAAGTGTTAACACGTCAAACAAACAAACAAACAAAAACAAGGACTTCTGATGATGGCTGCCTTGGATAAAAGAAGAGCTTATTTGCTTATTTACTACTTAACATAGTTGTTCTTGTTCATTAAAGGGCCCATATTCTACACTTTCTTGTATTTTATCTTGTTTCCTGAGGTCCATTTGGGACATTTGCACAGGTTTATGCACTGTGGTTCGTTTTGCATGACCATTTTCAACCTTCCCTTTATTCTTTAGAATTAAACATTCTGTTTTTGTCATTGTGCCTTTAAGCCTGATTGAATGCTTCATACAAAAAAGCTGTCCAGACTTATGCACTCTTCATATTCTCGCGTTTCACGTGACATCACACTGTGTAGTCACCACCGTTTTGAGGACGGAATCAGGGAGTGACTCCACTACCGCAGTGTGCTTTGTGAATGATTCACCTGCAAGATGTGACAGAAGCCAAGAATGACAAGATCTTTAATTCAGTGTTTTCACTTCAGGCTTGGAGCCCCTGCACTGTATAGTTTAGTGCTAACTGCACTAGCAAACTTACAAAATCACGTCTGTCGAAACACGACGTTGTTTTCTGACCCACGACATTCAGTCTTATATTTAACGTTTATGTTTCTCTCATTTAAATCTCCAGAAACAGAGAGTAAAGTTATACCGGCCGTCTGCAGCTCCGTTAGGGGGACGACTGTTCATCTCTCGGCTGTTAGCATTAGTAAAGTTATCTAAAGGCTAGCATTGTTCACATCTGTGTTAATTAGCTGATGTCGCCAAAGAGTTTTTTTCTCCTCTTTATGCAACACCATGGGATCCTTTACCCACCCTGACGTGAAGAGCCGGTGGGCTTCTGTGCTTTTAAATGCTTTGAGGGCTGAGTATGAGATAAATAAAAATGTCAGAAAAACAAATTTGGTAGCTTTCCACCAGTTTTAAGTGAGACCAGGAGTTCAGGGGTTGGGGGGGGGCTGTATAAGGACCGCAGCCTATTTTATCGACGTTGTTGAGGAAACATTTTTTCTCTTACAAAGTAAGGAGAGTAATTTTAGCGTTATATAACGTTATGTTTGTGCGGAGCAGCGAAACCAGAAATTCGCTTCCAAATATGGCAGCTACAACAGAAAAATCATATGGCTGAAACCCCAGGCTAACTTCAGTGTAAATGGGAGGGGCTAAACTGCTGTAGGCAGAATAGGTGGATATATGTAAATTAGTTTTTTGTGACAAATAGTGGGCTGTTTTTGGAGCTTATCATGTACTCTATGGGCTGATGAGTGAATGGTATGTTTTGACACTTTAACAGTATCCACATACCACCTCAATTTTTTATTAAAAAAGTACATTTTCCAAGATATGGGCCCTTTCATATTTACCAACTGGCCGCCATATTGGAAACCTCTACCTTGTAGCCCCACCTTGCTGATGCACTGTTAAAGTCCCTTTTTTGTATTATCCATCTTCTAGCCTTTCATCAGTGGTCAGTTTGTGACCTCAGGGCCATTCTTGGGTGGATCGTATTGGATGATGGTCTGCTCCCAACCCAGCAGTGACACTGATGTGTGTAAAAACCCCATCAACACCGCCGTGTCTGATGCACCACACACACTACCATGTCAGTGCTGTGCTGAGAATGGACCACCACCCAAATACTGTTTGGACAACAGTGGTCATGTTGTCAGAAACTGACCAGTGATGAATGGGGTGTTAAACTGCAGCAACAGATGGACTACGGTCGGTAACTGTAAACGTATATAGTGGAGCTATAAGGTAGATGTTTCTAATAAAGTAGCCAGAGAGTGGAAGTACAGTCTTGGGGATTGCAATGTTTTCAACACTTCTCTGTCCATGCGTTGCTTACATTAGATACATTAGCCGTCTTTAGCCTATCCATGTTGAGTCAAGCTAGCACAGTCTGTAATCTATTATACCTTCATGACATAGAGGTGACTAGTAAGGTTTAGACACCTCCAAAATAGGTCTAAGGGCTTTAAGTGCAAGAAATAATAGGCAGTACACATCCAGCAGCTTCCAGCCTTCACCACAGTTACAGCCCTGCAACGAGCCGTGTGCCTTTTCAGCCGGTATAAATAGCCCACCACATGCACTGTAAGTTGATTGATGACACCAAGGGGACAATATTGCCATGCTAACCATCAAATCCTCCAGCTGTTGTTGGTGACCTGGCTGGCTAGTGATACTCTGGCATTTTGAAATTATCCTCCTGAACCCGCTGAGTTTATCCAGCCTACTCGGAGGCCTCTGTCACATCACTGCCGACAGCTGCTTAGAGGAAAGCAAGTTTGGACTGAATCTACTGGTCAAGATCCCAAAGTTACATCACATCATTACTTGTAGCACAGCACTGTATTGTGTGGGTGGGCTTGTGTCCTCACTATGTGACTTGACTAACTAAAAAAAGAGAATAACAGGCTAACTTGAGCTATTCATTTTTCAGGAGATATTTGTGAGGAGATCAGATAGAAGGAAATCCAAAAATTGCATCAGGAAGGAGAAAGTCAAAGGAAAATAACTGAACAAAATGGATTTTCTACAACGAGCTCAAAAACTGATTAAAAGCTACCAAGGAAATGCGTATGGGACTCCTAACAACCACCTGGAAGATCTGGTAGGCCACCAAGACTGTAGTTACTGAATAATAAGTGTTAGTATGTAATAAGCCTGGGATTATAAAGGATTAAAAGCTACAGGGAAAATGAGACTTCTAACAACCACCTGGAAGACGTGGTAGACACCAAAACTGCCCCCATCAGAT